AAGAAATAGATTATCCCCCATTCCTTACCTGCATCTGCATACTTCTATTTCACTCTAATAGTTATCTTACTCCATTTAGGCTGCCAGAGTACCATAGACTTTGTGATTTGTGTCATAGAAATTTATTTCTCAAAGTTCTGATAACTGTAGATCCAAGGTCAGCGTGTTCATTTGAGCACCCACTTCTGGGTCACACCCTTTTCACTGTGTTTGTATAAGGTGAAACTATCTGCAGGAGTCTATGGGATTCTTTCGTAAGAGCTCCAGTGCCATTCGTGATGATTCCCCTCTTATGGCATAATCACCTTCCAGATACCTCGTCGATTGATACCATTACCCTTAACTAATGTGACCTCCCAGATACCTCACCAATGGATAACATTACGTCCTGGGGGGTTACTATTTCAAAATGTGGGTTTAGTGGTAGGGTTGGGGCATGGACCTTCAGTTTATAGCAACAGTAAAATAACAAACCAATGAGCTGGCAGGAATTAGAGGTTCCTTAAGGTGAATAGAGTCCATCAGCAAGGAAAAAATAGCCAATAACCAATATAACAATCTCAGATAGACAGTTCTTTCTGCTTTAGTCCTTCAGTCCAGCTGCTATATTGAACTGAACTTTATTATTTTCTGATCTATTTTTCTAGTTAAAAATTCTTCCATGCTGAGAATTATCTATTAGAATGATTCATACAATTTATGAGTCATATACCTCATTCGTATATGCATATATGCATATATATGTCTCTCGGAGATTCCGGCAAGCTACTGAGAATATCTCACCTGCACGGGCAGAGCCTGGCAAGCTCTTCGTGGCGTATTCAATATGCCAAAACCAGTAACTATAACAGTTCTCATTCCTCTGACCCTGAAAGAGCCTCAAATCATTGGGAAAGACGAGTAAGGACAGGCTGCTAAAATATCGGGCTGGGACAAATGGAGACATTACTGGTGCCTGCTCGAGTAAATCAATGAACAATGGGATGACAGTGATGCAGCATGATACTCATTGGTAAAAATATTTTCCCTGAACATGTAACCAGGTTTATTTTTTATTCATGTATAAGGTATTTAATCATCAACTAATATAAAAATCACATGCTGTGCATACATTTAGTATATATTGATTTGTATATGAAAAATACATATTAAAACATTTATTTATTTATTTATTTATTTTATAATTTATTTCTTTATTGCATCACTGTGGGAAAAGTTACAGAGCTTTCGGGTTTAGGTCTCAGTCATGTAAATATCAAACACATTTCCCTTTACCAATACTTATTTTTAACCGCGAACCCCAATAGAACCCCACCTCCCACCCCTCCCAATTCCTGTGAGGCAGATTAGTTCTAGTTAATACTCTATCTACTTTGACTAGATACATTGTTTCGATAGAAGATGCACAATTATTGTTTAGAGTTTACGACCCCCCCCAATCAGACATGCTGAAACAGCGTTGTGAAATGATTTGCTTTCTACAACTTGGTTTAAGAATAAAATGATGTCATGCGGCTGTGATAGCGGCCGCGCAGTTTTGGATTTCTGCTATTTTACTTATTAACCCTGTAAGAATTTCTATTAAAAGTTAGATAGTTAAGAGATTGGTTTCTGTGCTCTGGAGTCGTGGCCGTGCCGGAGAGCCGCTCGTGGGGGGCAGCTGGCGACCTTGGTCGGGTGTGAAGGATGGCCCATTACGCCCCCCTTCCCATGAGGTCCCTGCTGCTCCCACTAAAATATTTTTATTTATTTATTTATTTATTTATTTAATTTATTTATTTATTGAATCACTGTGGGAAAAGTTACAAAGCTTTCAGGTTTAGGTCTCAGTCATGCAAATATCAAACACATTTCCCTTTACCAGTACTTATTTTTTACCATGAAGAACCCCAATCAAACCCCACCCCCCACCCCTCCCAGTCCCTGTGAGGTAGATGAATTCTAGTTAGCACTCTATCTGCTTTGATTAGATTCATTGTTTCAATAAAAGATTCACCACTATTATTTAGAGTTTACCCCCCCCCCCCAATCAGACATGCTGAAAAAGCATTGTGAACTGATTTGCTTTCTACAGCTGGGTTCAAGAATTAAATGTTGGTTTTGGATTTCTGCTATTTTACTTATTAACCCTGGAAGTATTTCTACTGAAAGTCAGATAAATAAGAAATTGGTTTCTGTGCTCTGGAGTTGTGGCCGTGCCAGAGAGCCCCTCGTGGGGGGCAACTGGTGACCTCGGTAGGGCGTGAAGGGCGGACCGAAACGCCCCCCTTCCCATGAGGTTTTAGTCGCCCCCACACCCCCGGCTCATACCTGCTGTTCACAAGGCTCCCATGCGGCCGCCATCTTTCTTTCCAGAGAGGAGAGGGCGAATGGGGCAACACCCTTTCCCCTCCGGGCAGACATGATGGCCTGGATTAACACATAGTTCGTTCACTTTTCTGCTCCAAGCTGCTGGGTTCTGCATTAAGCCCTTGTGTTTCTGGGGCTGTGACCGTGCTCCAAACTTAACTCTGATTTTCAGGGAGAAACGTTGGGTGATTTACTTCCCATTGATCACTTTGTATATAGAGAGATGTCGCGCAGTTGAGCGGCCACGTGGTTTGGAGGAAAAGTCCTAGTTCCCACATACTCGAGTTATGCTTGTAGAGGCTTCTGGTCACCAGGGTTCCATCTGGGGGAGGCGGGATGCGGCACCTACCCCATCTGGGACTTCCCGATGATCTTGGCTCTTTTTGGAACCTGGTTTTTTCTCCGGGGGCTGTGGAGCCAGCCCTTCATGTGGCCCTTCTCTTCGGCTGTATCAATATTTATTTTTAAATGTGATAATTATCACCTAATGTGTGTAGAACCTCAAACAAACTACTGATTTGAGAGGTTACTGCTTTTATGTAGAGACTGGTATATTCTGATTACGTAGGAGGTAAAGACAATGATTTTAAGGGGTTTACTACTAACCCCTATACCTTAAAATTGTATCTGGGATTTTATAGTCATTCTGGTCGATAATGGAAAAATGTTTTAATTCAATGAAGTAGTGAGATAACAGCAATCCCAATTTTGAAGTGTTTACCCTATTTCTGGCTATAGGCTAATCCACTTTTCATCATCTGCTTAAGAGGGGTGTAACTGAAAGAGATTCATGGTCCTGCTCAGGATTACAGATTAGAGTGGAGGAACCAGATTTGAACATAAAAGGATGTAAACAGATCCTTGGCACTGTCTTTTTGCCAGTAACCATCTCAATGAAAGCTGAGCCCTAAAGCTTCCTCGTTCTGTAGAAGCAGTTTGTGTTCCAGAGAAAGGAGTCGGTGGCTCTTGAAAGTGGATGAGAAAGGAGCCACTCTGGTAAGGCTGCTTGCTGCAGGGACCCAACAATATGTCACCTCATTAAAGCAAATTCTAGAGCCAGTGAAACTGAGCCTTGCACCTGTTGCTGGGATTGACAGCAGCCATACATAACATATTAATGGATTAACATATCCATCTTCCAGTAATACTTTAGTTACTAGAGCAGATGGTAGGCCATCTTTAATACAAGGGCCAGAGTATATCCATTCCTGTCCAGAGAGCATACCATTCTCATATTCAGTGCAATTTTTCTCTACTATATATAAAGGATGATCTTGGGTTGGAAAGGAAGGGAGGAAGAAAGGAAAGGAGTAAGGAAAGGTGGAAGAGACAAAGAAATAGAAGGGGAAGATGGGAGGAAGGGAAAAGGGGAGAGAGAAAAGAAATGAAAGAAGAATGAAAAGCAGAATAGAGAACATTAGGATAGAAAATTCCAGTGACATCTGTCATAAGGGAGTGGTACCATCAGATTGGGATGATTCAACTTGGACATGAAGTTATAAGGTTAGAGAGACCATTGTGTGTGTGTGTGCATGTGTGTGTGCGCATGTATGTGTGTGCATGTGTGTGTGTGCATCTATGTGTGTGTGTTCAAAGTGCATGTACCATCTGGTAGAAGTAGTAGCACACTATGCTTGTACTTTTTGTAGTTTCAGGTACCATGCCAAGGAGATCACATGAAATATTTGTGATGGAAGGAAGAGGAAGGGATTATTTCTCATATTATAGATAAAGAACTTGTACCACTGTATATCAGTGCTGTGCGTAGTTGGGGAAATCATTGCCATTCTTTCTAAGGAATTCACAAGGAAACAAATTTTCAGGACAAGGCTAATAAAGATTGTGCTTAAGAGATCCTTCTGATGTCTTAGGGAAGGAACATGTAATGGGAGGTCTCTGAGGATCCTTGTAACTTACCCAGGAATTCTGCAGTGTGGAAAGCGTTCCATTTGAAAACAGGTGGGACCTTCCATGTTGTCTTATGATTGTTGTTCACCTGGACATTCAGAGGCTTTGTGCTTTTCATTTTTCCTTTTCGCCATTTTGGTTCTGAATTCTCTGTGACCAGAAGGAATGAGGGTGGGGAAGGGGAAAAAATGTCCAGGGCTGAAAATAAGCTTTGGGACATTGCTTTTGGAGCTGGTTTGCAGACACCATATTAAGAAGGTGGAATGGGATTTGGGGCAGGAAAGTTTGCATTGTTTCTTTCTGTAGGATGATCTATTTCTCTGGTGTCCCCCAGACTCGAAAGGAGAGCTGGATTTTTAGGTATTCTTCATAATATGGAACTAGATTACAGTAGATTACAGTTTGCAGTCTGTTGCACTAATTCATTAATTTCATTTCACAGACTGGAAGTTTTACTATGCAAATGTATGCAAATCAAATAGGAAAACAGTGTTTTGAACTGAGGATACCAGCACCTGTTTGGTTTCCTTTTTTTTTTTAAAGGTATTTGTTTCAGTTTTGGCAGGGGAGAGGCTTTTTTCTCACTGGGATTGTGTCCCTGGGGTACAAGTGAGAAAATAAATATATTCAGTGTTTGAAAGTGTGCAGAACAGTTTCCTGAAGAATGATTGGGGAGGTTTCTCCTTTGACAAATATTGTGGTGATTGGCATGTTTCCCACTCTCTCTTTCTTGTCTAAAACAGAATGAAGAAGATGAGCAACATCTATGAGTCGGCTGCCAATACCCTGGGGATTTTTAACAGCCCCTGCCTGACTAAAGTGGAACTGCGTGTCGCCTGCAAAGGCATTTCAGACAGAGATGCCCTTTCGAAGCCTGATCCCTGTGTCATCCTCAAGATGCAATCCCATGGACAGTGGTTTGAGGTAGGCAAGTCCAATGAAATGTCTCGAAGCAGGCCTCGAGGCTTGGCTAGCAATACATGGTATCTTTCATCTTCACATGGTGATTTCAAGACTCAGAGAAATCTTCCTTTTGTACTATGATGCTTTTATGTGGTTATTGGATGTGTGCGTGTGTGTGTGTGTGTGTGTGTGTGTGTGTGTGTTTTGCCATCCCCCTTTTATTCTGGAGCCTAACACTTCTAGGGTGTTTTTAATTAATTACTGAAAAATGTTCAGAGTGTGTCCCTGGTCTCATGCTCGGTCAAAGGAGAAGTTTTATTAATGGAAAAAAATGGCCCACAATCATTGCAAATATTTGGAGGGACTAGGGAAAGGATTACACATCGTGAAGCAAAGATGAGCCTAACACACTCAAGCCCCAGGATGGGTTGAGGTGGGAAAGCTCACACTCAAAAAATTAGCTGTATGTGTTAAGAAGGCCGGGTCAGATTTCATATTAGAATACATTAGGATTTGGGAATTGGCAGCTTTGCAAGACTAAGTTTTGGGGGGGTTGGGAGAGAAATAGCTGTTCAGATGTTCAGACAAAAAGGTGAATGCTGACTCAGGATGTCTTATAGACCGGTGCAGAAACATGGGTTCTGGGGACAGTTGTCAGTCTCATTGCCACGAGTTCCAGGGCAAGGCAGAGTGCTAACCAGTGGTAATGTAACCCATTACCAAGGAGTGACTCCTTCCAAGATCCATGGTGGAAAAAGCTGAGCTGGATATGGACGATGTCTCAATTGGAGTTCATTGGGCATTGTAGAAGAGTGAACACTGACCAGAGAGATTTTAGGTGGATCAATGGTAAGGAGATTTGGATGGCAGAAGTGGAAATGAAATGAACCTCCAAGCCTTGAGAGAGTTTTAACTGTCAAAAGCACATTCAGATACCCCCACCGTCTTTTTTTTTTTATTATTATTAGTGAAACACCATGAGGTACAGTTGTAGATTTACAAATTTTTGTGCTTGGATCTCGGTCATACCACGATCAAATACCCATCCCTCCACCAGTGCCCATTTTCCACCACCAGGATGATATCCCTCCCCCTCATCCCCTATCCCCCCATCCCCCCCGCCACTGTGGCAGGGCATTCCCTTTTGTTCTCTCTCTCCTTTTGGGTGTTGTGATCAGCAAAAGAGGCATTGAGTGGCGAACATGTTCAGTCCAGTCTACTTTCAACCTGCATCTCCCCTCCTGGGAGGATCCTCCAAACATCCTCCACTTGGTGTTCCCCTTTCTATTTGAATTGTCCTTTCCCCTAGAATACCCGGCTGGCCTCTAAGTTATGGAGTAATTCTCCTGATGTTGATCTCAGCTATTCTTGGGTATTAATCTCACATTTTGTTACTTTATATCCCCCAGATGAATGCAATCTTTCTATGTCTATCCCTCTCTTTCTGACTCATTTCGCTTAGCATGATACTTTCCATATTGTACCACTTGTATGTAAAGTTCATGACTTCATCTTTTCTAAGAGCTACATAGTACTCCATTGTGTAGATGTACCAAAGTTTCTTTAACCAGTCATCTGTTCTTGGGCACTCAGGTCTCTTCCAGTTTCTGGCTACTGTAAAGAGTGCTGCAATGAACAAACAAGTGCAGATGTCACTTCGGCTACACATTTTTGCCTCTCTGGGATATATTCCCAGGAGTGGTATCGCTGGGTCAAATGGGAGCTCAATTTCTAATTTTTTGAGAGACGTCCATACTGTTTTCCAAAAGGGCTGAACCAGTCGGCATTCCCACCAACAGTGAAGGAGTGCCCCTTTCTCGCCACATCCACGCCAGCAACGGTTGCTTTTGTTCTTTTGAATGTGGGCCAGTCTCTGAGGTGTGAGATGGTATCTCATTGTGGTTTTGATCTGCATCTCCCTGATGATTAATGATGTAGAGCATTTTCTCATGTGCTTTTTTGCCATTCGGATTTCTTCTTTGAGAAAGTTTCTGTTCATTTCATTGCCCCATTTTTTGATGGGGTTGGATGTTTTCTTCTTGTGGAGTTCAACCAGTATTTTGTATATCCTTGATATCAACCCCTTGTCAGATGTGTATTCGGCGAATATTCTTTCCCATTCTGTAGACTGTCTTTGTATTTTGGTCACCATTTCTTTGGAGGTGCAGAAGCTTCTTAGTTTAAGATAGTCCCATTTATCTATCTCTGTTTTCACTTGCTCAGCCAGTGGTGTGTCATCTTTGAAAATACCATTAGCCTCAATGTCATGGAGGGTTTTGCCAACTTTGTCTTCAATGTATCTTATGGTTTCTGGTCTGATGTTGAGGTCTTTAATCCATTTTGATCGTACCTTTGTACATGGTGTTAGGCAGAGTTCTGAGCCCATTTTTTTGCATGTAGCCATCCAGTGATGCCAGCACAATTTGTTAAAGAGGCTTTCCTTACTCTACTTCACATTTCTTGCACCTTTATCAAAGATTAGATGATCATATGATTGAGGGGAGATGTCAGTGTATTCAACTCTGTTCCATTGGTCTGCAGTTCTGCCTTTGTTCCAGTACCATGCTGTTTTGATTATTACCGCTTTGTAGTAAAGTTTGAAGTTAGGGAGGTTGATTCCTCCCATTTTCTTTTTCCCAAGAATTGCTTTAGCTATTTGTGGGGGTTTATTGTTGCATATAAATTTCAGGAGTGTTTGCTCCATTTCTTTGAAGAATGTCATGGGTATCCTTATAGGAATTGCATTGAATTTGTACAGTGCTTTCGGTAGTATTGCCATTTTGACAATGTTAAGTCTCCCGACCCATGAGCATGGGATGTTTTTTCATTTCCTCATGTCCTCTTTTATTTCCTGAAGTAGCGTTTTGTAGTTTTCTTTGTACAGGTCCTTTACTTCCTTAGTTAAGCTGATTCCTAGGTACTTGATTTTCTGGGGCACAATTGTGAACGGGATTGATTTTTTCATATAGCTTTCCTCTCTCTCACTGTTTGCGAATAGGAAAGCCATGTACTTTTGGGTATTGATTTTATAGCCTGCAACTTTACTATACAAGTCTATTGTTTCTAGGAGTTTTTTGGTGGAGGTTATTGGGTTCTCTAAGTATAGTATCATATCATCTGCGAATAGTTAGAGCTTGATTTCTTCCTTTCCTACCTGAATGCCCTTAATATCTTTTTCTTGTCTAATTGCTATTGCAAGTACTTCCAGTACTATATTGAACAGAAGTGGAGAGAGTGGGCATCCTTGTCTCGTCCCTGATCTTAGAGGGAAGGCTCTCAGTTTTTCCCCATTGAGGATGATGCTTGCTGTAGGCTTATGGTAGATGGCTTTAACTATGCTGAGGAAGTCCCCTCTATACCCATTTTGGCTAGGTTTTTCATCATAAAGGGGTGCTGGATCTTGTCAAATGCTTTCTCTGCATCTATTGATATGATCATATACTTTTTATCTTTTCTTTTGTTGATATGATGGATTATGTTGATTGATTTCCGAATGTTAAACCATCCTTGCATCCCTGGGATGAATCCTACTTGGTCATGGTGTATGATCTTTTTGATGAGTAGTTGGATTCTATTTGCTAGTAGTTTGTTGAGGATCTTTGCATCTGTGTTCATCAGGGATATCGGCCTGTAGTTCTCTTTCTTTGTGTTATCTCTGTCTGCTTTTGGTATCAGTGTGATATTTGCTTCATAGAAACTGTTCGGAAGTGTATTTGATATTTCAATTTCATGGAAAAGCTTAAAGAGGATTGGGAGTAAGTCTTCTTTAAAGATTTGGAAGAATTCACTGGTGAATCCATCTGGGCCAGGGCTTTTGTGCTTGGGGAGACTTTTTATTACCATTTCAATTTCCTTGATGGTGATAGGTCTGTTCAGGTATTCCAGATCTTCTTGGTTCAGCCTTGGGAGTCTGTAGGAGTCTAGGAATTTATCCATTTCCTCGAGGTTTTGATGTTCCGTGGCATAAAGCTTCTCAAAGTACTCCCTGAGGATCCTCTGAATTTCTGTGGTTTCTGTTGTAATGGCCCCCTTTTCATTTCTGATTCAGTTTATTAGGGTTTTCTCTCTCCCTTTCTTTGTGAGTTTTGCTAGGGGCTTATCGATTTTGTTAATTTTCTCAAAGAACTCTTGGTTTCATTGATCTTTCGGATTGTTTTCTGGGTTTCCATCTCGTTAATCTCTACTCTGAGTTTTATTATTTCCTTCCTCCTGTTCGGGTTGTGCTCCTTTTGTTGGTCCTTCTCCAAATTCTTAAGCTGTGAGGTTAGTTTATTTATGTGGGCTCGCTCCTCCTTTCTGAGGAATGCTTGTAGAGCTATAAACTTTCCTCTTAAGACCGCTTTTGCTGTGTCCCATAAGTTTTGGTAATTCGTGTCCTCATTTTCATTCGTTTCTAGAAATCTTTTGATTTCCTCTTTAATTTCCTGTCTAAGCCACTCGTTGTTTAATAGCGCACTGTTTAATTTCCATGTGTTTAATTTAGTTTTCTGTTTTTGTGTGTGATTTACTTCTAATTTCAGCGCATTATGGTCTGAGAAGATTGTTGATATAATCTCTACCTTCTTAATTTTATGGAGGCATGTTTTGTGGCTCAGCATGTGGTCTATGTTGGAGAATGTTCCATGTACGCTTGAGAAGAATGTGTATTCAGCTTTTTGTGGATGAAGTGTCCTGTATATATCTACTAAGTCCCTTTCTTCCATTGTTTCCCTCAGATGAAGTATGTCCTTGTTAAGCTTGAGTCTGGTTGATCTATCAAGAGGTGACAAAGCGGTGTTGAAGTCTCCCACTAGTATTGTGTTGCTATCGATGTCTTTTTCCAAATCTATGAGTAATTGTTTTAAGTACTTTGCTGCTCTCTCATTAGGTGCATATACATTTATTATTGTAAGTTCTTTCTGTTGTACAGATCCTTTGGTCAATAGGAAATGGCCTTCACTGTCTCTTATGACCTTCTTCACTCTGAAATCGATGTAGTCTGATATTAGGATAGCTACCCCAGCTTTTTTCTGGGAGCTGTT